TCTCTCTCTCTCTCTCTCTCTCTCTCACCCCCTCCCTTCCTCTCTCTAAAAATCAATGGAAAAAATATCCTCACTCTGTGGGTGAGGATTCTTAAAAAAAGGAACTGCCTTATGACCCATTGATTCCACTTCTGGGAATATATCCAAAGAAACCCGAAACACTGATTTGAAAGAATACATGCACCCCTGTGTTAATTGCAATGCTATTTACAATAGCCAAGGTTTGGAAGCAGCCCAAGTGCCCATCAGTAGATGAGTGGATAAAAAAGCTGTGGGACATTTACACAATAGAATACTACCTAGATATCAAAAAGAAGAAAATCTTACCTTTTGCAACAGCATGGATGGACCTGGAAGATATTATGCTAAGTGAAATAAGCCAGTCAGGGAAAGACAAATACCATATGATTTCACTCATATGTAGAATCTAATGAACAAATTAAACAAAATAGAAACATAAATAGACTAATAGATAGAGAAAGTAGACTGACAGCTGTTAGAGGGGAGGGAGATTGGGGGGCTGAGTGAAAAAGGCAAAGGGATTAAACAAAAAAAGCAAAAACCTCACAGACACTGACAACAGCTTGGTGATTACCAGAGGGAAAGGGGGGTGGGGGAGGTGGAAGAGGGTTAGGGGGATAAATGGTGACAGAAGGAGACTTGACTTTGGGTGGTGAACACACAATACAGTATACAGATGATGTATCATAGAATTGTATAGCTGAAACCTATATAATTTTATTAACCAATGTCACCCCAATAAATTCAATAAAAATTAAAACAAAACAAAACAACCCTGAGTCTCCCAGTCTGCCTCTCCATCCTTACTTCTCAAGGTAGAAGATTACTGGGGATTAGGATATTCCCTATCAGGGTCATTTTGGGAATGAAATAATCACAGAGCCTTGGATGATGTCCCGTAACTTTCCTCATTCTTGCAAAAGGGACCCTTTGGGGGTTCTATTTAACTTCTAGATCTCCACCTCCAAAGTGCTAATGAAGCCAGATATGACCTGCAGTGGGCCCAGGTTCCCAGCTGTGAAGGTTGCATTTGCTGTCTAGGTTGGTTTTTACTCAAAGTTTTCCACATCAGCAATGAAGAAACCAGATTGGATTCTGACCAATCAGCATGACTGAAGATTCCAAGGACATAAAATATCTTCTCTTCTGGAGAAGCCCTATTCACTTGGGCCTTTGTCAAGGCTCTTAGCCCAGGAGGGAGCTGCCAGGCCCAGTGGAGGAGGTGCTAGCCTGAGAGGCTGAGAGATCTGTTTTCTCATCTCAACTCTGCTAGAGCTCAGTGTGACCCTGTATAAATCACTTAACCTCTAGCACTTAATCTCGCTTAGCCTCCATTTGGCCCTCTAATAATTAGGTTGTAATAGAGCAGTGATTTTTCAACCTCTTTCATCCAATGGCACACGTAAACTAATTATTAAAATTCTGCAGTACAGCAAAAAATATATTTTTTGCCCAATCTGACAAAAAAATAGGTATAATTTTGATTGTTTTACAAAAACAGTAATAGTAGTAATTACCTACCCTTTTTGCTCCAAAGTGATTTTTTAAAAAATCAGGTGCCTGTACTTGTATGTAAGGATTTCTGGTACCAGGAATTAACCAATCAGACGCAACCTTATTCGACATTACCAATAAAATGCAACTTTATTATATGACTTACGTATTTGTGGTTCAAGACAGGGCATTCACACTCGATGACTATTGTGTTGGCTGTTGTCATGTTATTATTTGACAGTCTAAGGGAAAGAGGTCAGTGCCCCTGACGAAAATAGTCAGGTATTGCATGTTTTAAAAATTCTTGCGGCTCATCAGTTGAAAAACTCTGTAGTAGAGGATGACAAAAGGACTTCCAGATGATAACATTCCTTTCCACACACAATTATCATTATTTGTGTTATCTTTTAATCTTTGTTTCAAACCCTCCTGCCCCACTAGATCATATAAAGCTCCTTGAAGGCAGGAACTCTGCCATATACGTCTTGGTACCTCCCAAAATATCTAGCAGAATGCTTTTCACATAATAGATGCTTTAAAGATCTGTTTGATTTATTGATTATAGATTGGCATACATTGAAAGAACCCTACACTGGACCTATAGGTGATACCTTTTAATATTGCAGAGCTGGGAACCAGTAGTGACCATCCTGAGTGGCTATAATTGACAGGCTGGAAAACCAATCAGGGTCATCAGCAGATTGGCAGCTGATGAATGCTATTATAGTGTGGAATGAAAGCAAATTGCTTCTCTATCTACAATTTCTTCCAAGTACAATAAAAGAAAAGTGGCACCTTAAGACAATCGACTTATCTTTTTAAAAATGTATCTTTATTGTTGAGAGTATTGTAGATGTCCCTGTTTTTCCCCCCCCATTGACCCCATCCACCCTGCCCCCACGCCCTTACCGCCCCACTCCTGACCTGCTTATCTTCTTTCACTCTTGGAACTTGAAGCTTGCCTGAGTTCGTGGGCCATTTTCAGTTTCTGCTTTGGTCTTACATGTGGCAGAGGGCTTTGGGAGTTGTGACACAGCTAGCCACTCCTGAATCAAAGCATTTCTGACCTCGGAAACACCCAAGTCACATTATCTGTCAGGTTATCAGAGTTTGAACTCTAAGGCAGATATGAGATGTTTTAACTTCTTGGGGGGGGGGGGGGATCATTGCCAGT